CTCACTCTTACGGGTTCCTTGGCTCGGCGTTCGACTAAGTAAGCAGTACCAGCCGGGTCATAACAGTAACAGAATTTAATATCCTCCTACTTGGATGCCCGAGGTGAACAAGTTAAAAGCTCTAATGTTACCTCTTACCACACACATGTGAGGGGTGAAGTTATGCAGAGTAGCGTGCGTGGTCCACTTCTATTTTGCCTTTTAGCCAGCGATTTTCTTGGTTGTTTTCAGTATAGTGGGCCCTTTATGCATGCTGACGATTTAAAAGTTACTTATCGAGATGTTTTGACCCGCGCCTGGTACTTGTAATGGCAGGACTGAATTATTATAAAACAGCTACCTTTAAATTTTAAGCAGCTTGACTTTCCCTTTTTTCGTTAGATTCCAACAATAGGACGTCGAATTTCCATTTTCGTTAAATTCCGCCTACATAAGGTCGAAGTTCCCTCAATTGGAATCCTTATCCTGCGCAATCGGAGTTCGTATTGATGGAATTTTATTCTATTTTAGCATATTAAAGTAAGCATGGTCCTATATTATTTGGTATTTTTGGACACTTACGCCACAATTGCATATTCATTACGCTCACTAGCCAAGAATTAAATGTTTGACCACAAAATCCGTTAAGCGGTTGGGCGGGGCAATAGATATATAGAGGGGCCTTACAAGTCAGTTTTGCCGTAGGCAGTATGTTCAATTCCTTCCATAACATAAGAGAGATTGCACTTTTAGAAAGTTGACCTGGACGCCATCTGCTCCTGGACTATGAGGTTGACGAAAACTACGAATGGCTACGGTCACGTCCCAGAGGGTAGAACTTTAGTTTCGAGGGCGGCACCCGTCCAAGGCCGGATGGTCGGAAGCGCAGCGACCGAGTTTTCATTGAACGTTCTGGATAGAAACGCATTAAAGCTATCAGCGGTCAACTCAGCGTCAAATATGGGGTTTATTAAGGCGCCTTGAAGTATCGGGAGCTGCCCTTTACTCTTCGCTTTTACTGTACGCGAAAAGAGCTTCGCAACATTTAGCGAAGGGTTTTCAGCAAAGGTGACCTCATCGGTTATCTGCTTTTCTTCGCCAAGCTTCTTGGCCTTCTCAAAGCTAATTTGAATCAAGGGCAGAACGGAAGTGCCCTTCTGTTGATGTATACGACGTGAGAGTCTACACCAGCCTACGGCGGAAAGATAGAGGAAGGTAGACTCCATCCTTGATATGTATTATTTTCTTACGGGGAACAAAACGGGAAATGAGTGCACCTAGAACTTTATACAGTGTATCAATAAAAAAATTCACATCCAAATATAGGAGGAAGTCAGAGAACTCGAGGAAATTAAGATGTGTCAGTAATTCCGCCGTATTTGCTGATCAGAAGTAATGGAAATATTTTATTGGAATACGTTTCGTCTGCCTCAACTTCTAGTGTCTAGAGGAGATAACCTCGAACAAAGAATCCGAGCGGCTGTTGGGAACCCGCCTGTATTCAACATCCCAAGATTTTTCATGCGAAACTGGCAACTCACAGTATAACGATCCATGCTACGGCGCCCACGAGAACCGACGCGCTCCGCAACCCTTGTTCGGTGGTGCGGGCGAACAATATGCAAGATGGACTGCTCAACTGCAAACGGACACTTGGTATTGGATGCTGGAATGTGTAAACACAGTCTCTATGAATATCAAGAGGATGTTTGCTGCCTGTCCGACGTCTGACTCCCCGATTCAGGCGCCCGAGAAATCAATATTCCGGGAGCCGATTCTCATCGCACTCTGTATCACAGTTGTCCACGTGACTCATCTGGTCGACACGGTGTGGCTATTGTCCTCT